GTATTTGGTCACCTCAAACAAGGAAAATCTCTGGCTCTCACAGACCTGTAACGTCTTCTGTAAGAAGCTTTTCTGTCCCCCACTCGTTACCTGTATGAATTGAAGCTGCAACTTCTTTAATTTGCCTTACTAGTAAACTACCTGTTTTTTCCCCGTGTTCATAGTACTTATGTCGAAGTTGTGTCATTTGTATAAAGCAATTTAAGTTCTGTCTGCAATGAGACCTTCTTTTTATAAAGTTTGGATGAAGGAGAGATGGCATATTCCTGATCTGTTTCTAAAAGTTCCATTGTTATGTTTGACTCTTTCCTATAACTACTCAATGAGATGATTTGGCCTCTCAAGTAGGCTTTTAATGTGTCCCATAGTGTGGATCTCGTAACTTCAAGTGTGTCATTTATTGAAATAAATAGCTTGATTTGATCCTTTATTTCATTTACTAAAATATTATCTAACAGCAAACCATTATTAAATCGCATTTTGGTGCAGTAGGTCTATCTCCTATTGCTAATCGTAGCAATACTGGACTATGGTCAGATAAAACTATTGCCTTAAAGTCACAACTTTGGGTCTGTGTAAGAAATCTGTGATCTATTAAGAAAACGTCTATTCTAGAATAAGTATGATGAACAGAGGAGAACTATGAAAATTGCTTAGAGTTGGGGAAATAGCTCTAAATGGATCTATCAGTTTATATGTCTTCATGAACTCCTGGATAGTTTTCACAGATTTTGATTTAGATGCTGATCTTTGTGATGGTCTGTCAAGACTAGGATCCAAAAGGAAATTAAAATCGCCGCCAATTATCAGTTTATGGGTATGCATATTAGGTAAAGAGGATATAAATGATTTAATACAGCCTGCATCATCAACATTAGGGGCGTAAATATTTGCTAGTGTAACCTGACTGTTATAAAGTTTCCCTGTAACATAACGTCCACGAGGGTCTGATACTGCTTTTGACGCTATGAAGGGGATCCCTTTTTTGATAATAACAGCTGCACCTCTGAGCTGTGAAGTTAGAGTGAAACACCTGCCCGATCCATCTGCTTTACAAATGCTTTCTTGTAGTTATACATTTGTTTCCTGTTTAAGGGTTTTGTTAGAAATCAAACAAAGAAGCTCTGGAGGAATGTTTAAAGTTGTCATTCTTACAGTAAAAAATAGAGTACAAGCTCTGAACTTAAACAAGTGACTGGAACTCTGTAGAACAGCTGTTTCCTGTATAGGAAGTGACAGCCATCTTGGAAAATGGCGACCATTTGAAAATTCAAGTGTCTTATAAGCAGGGGTTCTTAACCTGTTTTACCTCGGGGCCCAACTTTTCCACTACAAAGGGGCCGAGGCCCATTCAGATATTAACACCGTACTCAATACATTGATGTTGTTTTTGGTTTGATTCATATTTAATAACTAAATCAAATCTACTTCATTCTGACAGCTAAAACCTCGTCAAATAATGATGATGACATGATACAATGTAATAATCACACAGACATTCATTTATTATGTGTATGTGAACCTGCACATAAAACAATTCATGGAGCAAGTCAGACTGCAAGAAGAAACTGAAAGGCTGACGTCAGCCTTAATAACACAGAAATAACTGATCATTTAATTTTACCACAGCAAAAGAGACGAGGAAAAAAGAGGAAATAGAAACTGGATAAATAATGTGGTGATAAAATAAATACATTCAAAATTATTTTCTAATTAATTGAATAAATAAATAAGCTGTTATAAAATGTAAATGAAGTGCAAATGAAAATATAGCCTTATAGTCTGTGAGTGAATCTGAAAGTTACTTCAGCAGTAAACCTTTTGTCATTGGCAGAACCAGAAGTTACTCCTTATGTTTGAGACAAATGGACAAAGAGTCACAGCAGGTAACTCCCCTTTACCTGAGACACCATCAGATCCAGTCTGGGTGGAGTGGAGGAAAGGATCACTCTCAGAGTAGCTTCCACTGTTGCTCTGAGTCTGTTTCGGGCTTTGGTCTTGGTGGTATGTAGTTGTGAATGGGAGAAGGAGTTTCACAGCTCTCAGTGCCAGACGGGTACTCCTTTGAGACAGCAATCCAGAAGGAGCCCAGATCCGGTTTGCCCCACTCCAACGTTAAAGTGCTGTCGGTGGAAACTTCCAGAAGCTGGGATTCCAGATGTGAGAGCAAAGCAACATCATTTTCAGTGGGATCAACAGAAAATGGGTCCAAAATCCACACGTGTGCTTCTCTGGGATCCTCAGGGAAATATTCATCGACAGAGTCACTGACCTTCACCTGAGGGGAGTTTTCCAAGATGTGAGACAAAAGTGGAAACATGTCCATCGTCTTCTCTTGGACCCTCTTAGTCCACAAAGCAAGTTTCCTCTTGAAAGCTTCAACTTTGTCTGCAATAAAAAACATGTTGCTGTTCAGCTGGTTCAGCAGTGAAAAATGTCACAGAGGTAGGCACGCTCAGCGGTGGACTAATAATGTACAAGAGGAGATTTTTTTTCTCTGTAAGAAAAGACCTCATTCCTCAGTTCCAACAAAAGCTTGATGACCAGTCGTGTTCAATGTCACCTCACTGTGGCAGAGCAGATGGACGTGATCTGCTTCCATGTCCTCACAAAGCTCAGCAAAACAACTGGAGTTTACAGCATTAATTTTAATGAAGTTGATGGTTTTCACACTTACATCCATCACATCGTGGAACTCTGGTAACATATTTTTTGCTGCAAGGCTTTCACAGTGGAGAACACAGTGGGTCCATTTAGCTACTGGTGCACGATCGAGAATCTGCCTAACGACGCCGTGATGCCTGCCAGTTATTGAAGCTGCACCATCACTGCACACCCCAACACAGTTCTACCAGCTGCCAACTACTGTCCCAGCGATAACAAACAAAAACCAGCAGCAATGCACCATTTGTGACATCAGTGGACTCGTCTAGTTCCAAAGAGAAAAAAACGGACTACTTGTTATTCTTTCCAGAAGCTGATGCTGTATGTCTAAGGCCATGTCTGTGATACGGTGGCTCACAGGGTCGTTTGAAAGTGGGGTGGTCAGTAGCTTCTTTGGAGCAGCCTCTCTGATCATCTCACAGCACATATCTACAGAAATGCCTAAACTTGGCCATGATCCCATGGTTAAGAATCACTGTCTTATAGGGTTTAAATAACTCCAAATGTTGGTTGCTTGGATCCACTTGTGAAAGATTTTCCAGTCATCTGATGCGCAGAGAAGGCAGATAAAACGTGAGGGGACGCACCAAGACCCAATGTAAGCTATAGCACAGTGACCAAAGAGTCATTTACTGATTAATTATGTTAGTGGTTTGACCCCTGGCTAGTCCGGTCTGCATGCCAAAGTGTCCTCGTGCAGGTCAGTGAACCCCAAGCTGCTCCAGAGTGCGTGTGAATGTTACATAAATGGACTGATTCTTATCAGTACTCAAGTCCGCAAAGCGCTCTATACAACATGCCACATTCACCCAATCACACCCATTCTCACAAGCACTTCCTCTGTACTTAGTGCTTTCTAACTGCATTCACACACATTCACACTGCGATGGATGCATCGGAGAGCAACTTGGGGTTAGTATCTTGCCCAAGAATACTTGAAATGCAGACTGGAGGAGCCAGTGATCGACACCAAGCTTCCGATCAGTAGGTGTTGTGAAATCTGTTTATGTTGTCCTAGTAAGGCTACCATGAGGGCAGCCACTAGAGGTCGCTAGGAGACTGGGGGTATTTGTGTTTTCCAGAAATTGATGTAGCCACGTACACTGCTGCTACAATTGAATAAAAAGTGGTTCGTGCTTGAGAACCCTGCGTCTTATTGCCTCCGAACATGACATGGTGTCAGAAATGAGGACTTCACGCCGAGTTACACGAAGAAATGGCTAAATTTGGACCTCCGGAGCCGTTCGACTTTACACAGCCGGCAGAGTGGCCGATATGGCGGCAGAGATTCTCCCGTTTTTGAGTGGCGTCCAAGCTAGGGATGGAGAGCGGCGAAGTGCAGGTGAACTCGCTTCTTTACTCCATGGGGAGAGATGCCGAACCAATATATGGCTCATTTGTGTTTCCTGCTGCTACGGAGGCCAGGCCAAGTCCGCAGTTTGAGTATGATCTGGTTATACAAAAGTTCGATGAGCACTTTGTCCCAAAGAGAAACGTTATCCACAACCGTGCCTGTTTTCACAAATGGAGCCAGAGGGCCGGGGAGACTGTACGAGCTCGCGCAGCACTGCGAGTTCGGCGGCAGTAAAGACGAGCAGATCCGGGATCGTATCGTCATTGGATTAATTGACAAAGATGTTTCACAAAAACTCCAGCTCAAGGCGGACTTAACTTTGGATAGAGCCATTCAACTAGCACGCCAGAGTGAACAAGTCAAACAGCAAAGTGCAGACCGAGTGGAAAGCACGGTGAATGAGGTGAAACAGAGGCATTATAACAGCATGAGAAGGAGTTACTACCATCCTCATCAGGTACGTGAGCAACAACATGGTGAGAGTAAACCAAAATGCCAAAGATGCAACAGGGTGCATGACAAAAGAGAAAACTGCCCAGCCCGCAATAAAAGATGCAGAAAGTGCAATAAGTTGGGACACTTTGAAGTTGTATGCAAAACCAAAATGCTAAAAGAGGTCAGGGCTGAGGCTGTAGAGGACTCAGATGAGGATTCATTCTTCATAGGGGAGCTTTTCCTGGGAGCAGTAATTGAGCCAAAAACAACAGTCATTGAGGAGTCAGGCTCAGATGCCGACTGGGACATTGAGCTATTGGTAAATGGCAGTCCAGTTGATTTCAAAATTGATACAGGCGCAGACACCACTGTTATGACAGAAACGACCCTTAATAAGCTACAGCAGAGACCCAAACTTATCCAGTGTAAGCCAACTGTGTACAGCCCTGGTGGAAAAGTCAAGTGCATGGGTAAATTCCTTGCTACTACAGAGTACAAAGGCCAAAAGTACCAGTACTGGATTACAGTTATAAAAGGGCAATATGCAAGTAACCTACTGGGGAAGACAGTAGCAAAGCGCATGGGATTAGTCACTAGAGTTAACAAAATCAGTAGTGACTTAACAGAGGATGTGTTCGGAGAAATTGGCCTGCTGAACTGTGAACCTGTAAAAATCGAGCTGACCGAAGATGCAGTGCCGTACAGTGTAACCACCCCACGCCGGGTGCCTTTTCCTCTCCT